CTTTGCATTTAATACCATAGGGAAGAAAATGACATCTTAATATTTGTCAAATTTTAATGTGATCTTTTGGAAGTGTTTTGGTTACCCTGGGGTTCCTCACATCACATTCTAAGAACCACTATGTGAAAGATTTACATCTGGGTCTCTGGACTTTGTCTTCAAATATTAGAATGACTGGTCCATGTTGAGAAGTATATCTCAGCATTGGACTCAGGAATGCTGACCTATTTTTTTTAATTTTCAAATAAAACATGTATTTTATTTTATTTTTTAAATATCTTTTTTTCCTTTATTGTTGTAATGGGTGGGAATACATTGTGGCATTTACACACAGGGTTCTTACAGTGTACCAAATATATCATCCATGAATGCAGCTCCTCAACCATTCTTATTTTTTTAACTGAATATAAGTGGCAGAGAGACATAAAACAAAAAAAAACTGTAAAATAAGATACTGTGGATAGTAATATCCCAACTGAATGAGAACACAGATTCAAGACTTTAATTGGGAATAATCACAGAAAACAATTCTTATATCATAAGATACCTGTTGTAGTGTATAGAATAGACTATGTATGGGTAGTAAGATAAATTTGCAGTTGGAACATGGTGGTAAATGTGGCCTTAGACGTATCATCTCAAATCTACCCTGGATTAAGCAAGTTTAAAGTATAAAAGGACAGACCTTACTCCAAAGAAACAGATCTAGAAAAAAAAAAATCCACTTCAGGAAAAAACAGAGTTGAAAATGGATGTATCCTGTGACTTCCACTTCTGGTTTCCTAATCCCCAGTAATCTTTTGCACTTGTGCATCAGGTGATACACATATTCCAATATCATGTTTATTATGGTAAAAAGGATGGGAAACTTTTAGTCAACAGTAGAATGGAAAATATGATAAATCATACATTGGAATAATATACAGTACTAAAAAGGATCTCCAGCAACCTACTTAATCTATGCATGAGTCTCTAATGTATGTTTAAAATCAAGCAATAGAAGGATACATATAGTCTTATTCCACTGACATAAAAATTTTTCAGTGCTGGGGTTCAAACCCAGGGCTTCTTCACACATGCTAGGCAAGTAAGTACTCTACCACTGAGCAACACCCCTAGCCCAACAAAATATAGTTTAATGTACTTATATATATAATAAAACTATAAAGGAAAAAAGGAATCATTTCCTCAAGAAGATAATTTCTTAACTTACCTTCTATTCATCTACCTGTGATTAGCTTAAAAACCATGGTTATCTTAAAACAATGCTTTCCTTTGCCCATCTGCAAAATAGAAATATATAGAATTTTGGCAATTCTCTCATAAAAGTAGTATTAGTATATATAAAAATACTTCATTATCAAGTTTGTTTTTAGTATTTGTGATAGTCTTCAAATCTTTACTTCAATTATAATATATTAATTCCATTCTTAGAGCAATCTATTTTCTCATGGCCATTGGAAACAGAGCAACATTTAAGGTTCTTAAAATATCAATTAGGCGGTTGGGTATGGTGGCTTGCACCTATAACCCCAGCTGCGTGGGAGTCATAAGTAGTAGGATTATGGTCCGCAGCTAGCTCTGGGCCTACAAGATCCTATCCAAAAAATAACTAAAGCAAAAACATGTTGAGGGTGTGGCTTAAGTGGTAGATTGCCTGCCTAGCAAGCATGAGGCCCTGAATTCAAACCCTACTACTGCCAAAAATAAAATAAAAAATATCAGCCAGGCAGTTGTGGCCTCAACGAAATCAATTATTTCTTGCCTATACTAGAGGAAAATCATTTTAGAGTATCAATAGACTATCTAAACGTCATTAACTTTTCCCTTTTTTGGGAAGATTAGTGGAATTTCATTTCTGTGGTAAGTATTCAAAAGAACTCAAAGCATCTCTGAAACATTTTGTCCTCTCTTCATAGAATGTTCATTGCAGTCAGTAGTTTCTTTATACCCTATTTAATTGGTGTTGATTTCTAAAGAAAAGGAATATATCATTTTATTCAAAGTTTAAAGACTGTCCTACATATAAGAAACAATCCACTAGTTGGAGATTAACTTTTCCATTGTAACTAGGATTTATCAATCTATCATGTTTTCTTAACTGGAAAATAATATATTCTCTACATGTGCAGAAGATTAAATGTGTTACAACTAATCATCAATATTTTCACTTGATTGTAATTACCATAGATGAATTTTATATATTTTCGTACTTTAGCTGAAAAATGTAAACTATATTCAGCCCATCCCTGAAGGAAAAAGCAATACTATATTCAACAGAAATATCATAATAAAATTTATAGTGCTGGAGTTTAAAGCCAGGGCACTTCAAGTGCTCTACCACTGAGCTGCATCCCTAGCCCCAAAGCTATTATTGTTCTGTTTTAGGTAAAAACAAAAATAGTAAAGAAATTTTTGCTTAGTCACTCTTGTAAAGAAGAGACAATATTAGCTCTTAGAAATACACAGTTGAAGTAATAAACCATATAAATGCAACTATCAAATCATATAAATTGTTTTCTTCTAACCAAGTTTTATTTTGAAGTCTATTTATTCTCTAAGTAACTGTCCATTATGTAAGAATTTTATTATTTGAAACAGATTGCCTGAAATTTGAAGTCATTCACTTATTTTCCAAGGCTAATTATTTCCTTTCTTATTGCAGCCCTTTGGAGTGAATCAGCCTGGACCTTATATCATGTATACAACTGTAGATGCAAATGGATATCCGAAAAATGGCTCAGGTAAGGCAAGATATAATGTGCCTAATGTATAGAAGCACCTTCATTCAGTGTATTGGAAAGGTAAGCCATCATCAGAAATTATCATGTTTCCACATCCCTTAATAAAATGTTTATTACACTTACATCAACAAATTATGGGCACTTCATGCAAAAATATTGATATTGCATTCATTTGTCACTATTGTGATGGAGCCAATTCATCCTTACTTTTTAGTTGACAGAGAAATTGGGAGAAGTTACTTGAGTTATCTTTTATCAAAGAGTGAAATGTAAACTATTTAAATAAAGCTCATCTTAGAAGAGGAAATAAAAGTTGGGAATTCAGTTTATAACTACAGTCTAAACATAGATTTTCATATGTGGAATAGAGCTGGAAAAATATATAGTTTTTTATATATGGTTATTAAGAAACAATCTAGTTATACATTGAAATTATACATTGAAAAACTACAAAGGGAAATGCAATAAGACAAAAAAGAAGTAAGACTGACCTACACTTCAAAAAATATGTTTGAAACCATCAGGAATGTAGAAAGGTTCTAAAATGGGACAATTTGAATTGTAACAGCAATAGGTCAATATTTTAGGGTTATATCTTCCCTTTTCTCATATAATGACATTGTATATATTTTCCCCTGTCTGTTTATATAGACAGTCCTGATTTCCTGGGGGCTGTTTAGTGTGGAGGTACACTACCAAGTCTTTCTTTGGGTTTGTTTGGTCTTTTTTCACTATAATAAAATACTACCATACTAAACATCTATTTTATATACATATATTTTGTACAGTTAAATGATGATTCTCACTTTATTGGAAAAAAAATCTTGAAAAATGTGCACCAAATTAACTTTAATCATGGGAAACAAGATTTTAAGAGGTTCACTTCTTACTTTTTACATTTCTGTGACTGTTGACTATTTTCAGTCCTTATTAATTTTTAAGATAACCTTTACAGCAAATAATGTCTATCAAAATGAGTTCAAACCCAAGTACTGCCAAAAAACAGAGAGATTCTCCAGCCTACAAAATATTTTGTAATAATTTTTGATAAAATGATCAGATGTTTAATCCAGATTATAGGGGTATGATAGGAAAAATATATATATAAAGAAAATGACATATAAAGAAATAGGGTTGGTGTTGTGGCTCAAGTAGTAGAGCACCTGCCTAACAAGCATGAGGATTTGGTCCAAACCCCAGTATTCCCAAAAAGAAAAAAGTTATCATGCTTATTTTATGGATATAAGATTTTGTTTATATGTTTTTTTACATTTTAGTCTGCTACACTAAGCATATATTGCTGTCTTAATTTAAGAAAAAGCTTTTTAAAACATTTCTAAAGTCCTAGTTTAAATGCTAAGTGTGTTGAACTCTAACATTATTTGGTTGAATCATACTTGTCCGTCCCATCCTGAACCTCCTGAGAATTTCCTCTAGGAAGATGTCCACATTTGTGTATTTTAGAAACTGCAGCCCTGGTTTTCTCGCTACCCATTAGTGAGTCCTGAAACTAATTTAGTGGCTTATAAGAGTTTTTATTTAATATAATAGAGCACTAGAAAATACAATATATTACAAAAAAGTTAAGTATTTTATATCTTTAAATTAGGTGTGTGTGTGTGTGTGTGTGTGTGTGTGTGTGTGTGTGTGTTATACTTGGCAGTGACTTAAAATGAAGTTTTTACTGTGGGCAATCATCAAAAAAAGTCTAAAAGCCACTGCCAAAGAGCGATAATAAATGCATTCATGTTGTTCAGTAAAGGTCTGGCCTAATTTTCCTTTGGTTATAGATCTTCTCATTTTTACACAATACTCTGCAGTCTTTCTCCATTTCCTTGCAAAGCCCAAAGAGCAAATGTTATTAGAGGTACATTACAGGGAATTCATTAATTTTCTAGTAAACAGTAGTTCCTGTGACAGACCAAAAACATGAAATTAAACTATATTTGTTATGAACATGTTAGTAGCTAAATAACTCTGGTTTTAAATATAGGACTTTGCTTATTACTCTTATAAATTAGCCAGAAACCTGCAATGGGGACCCAAATTCCCTAAACAGTGTTTAATAAGAACTTAATATACTGGCAGAATTTAGTGGACTAGAAAGTAGCTGGTCATTAATGAATAATAGCATTATTAGACAAAGAATTAAAAGTACTTATTTGGCCCTGCTTTAAACCTAGAGGGAAAAAAAATTCCCCTTGTAATCTCAGCACTCAGAGAGGCTGGGATGGACTACATAACAAGACCATGTCTCAAAAAACTAAACAAATAAAGGTAGTATGAAGCAATCACATGCTGTAATGTAAAAAGAAAACCGGCTGGTTTTTCCTACTATATGGGTTTTTTCCCATATCAACCAATTCTCCAACACTAGGTGTCCTACAATTCAATTCAGTTCTAACACTATCTACCCAGTGTTCAATTCATATCCCACAGGTTAAGGATTCAGTCTCTCAAGATTCCCCTACTTCTCACACAGATGCAAGTCAAGTCATTTGGGACTTATTTCCTATGACTCCCTCCTCAGGGTCAATCATTTGCTTCAATGATTTACAGAACTCAAGAAAACACTGGCATTTGCTGATTTATTATAAAGAATACAGAAGAACAGCAGGATGAACAGATACATAGGGTAAGGTCTGGAAGGGTGATTACCAAGGGAGATTCTAGTCTTATAGGGGGTTTGAGGTGTGCATGTACTTCCCACATGTAGATGTACTTCAGTTGCCTGAAACCTCTCCAAACCCTATCTTTTTGGTTTATGGGAGCTTTATTACATAGGCATGATTGACTAATCTTTAGCTATTGGTGATCAGCTCTACCTTTAGCTCTTCCCTGGGCAATGATGGGTGATATTCTTGAAATATCATTGAAATAAAGGAAAAGGATTTGGAAATATGGAGTAGCTCTAAACAGCAACTGATATATCCTCTTGATATAATCATAAGACTTGACTGAAAGGATGAATGGATTATAGGAAATACAATAATTCTAAAAAAACTATAGAAGATTGCTACTTATTCAGCTATATAGCAATTGTAAATTCCATCTGCAGATGTAAATAAAGTCATATTTTGGAAAATCAAGAGAAAGGAAATCAGAAATTAATACCAACAAAAACACTGATTTTATGAAATCATATCTTCAAACTAATTTCTAGTTTAGTATTTACAGTCAATATAGGTCCTAATGCTGAAGAAAGAAGTGTCACATAACACCTTTGAGAAATAGGAAGTTAAAAAGAGAATATAGTTTGTCTGTTCTGTGGTCTTTGCTTGCATGTGTTGTTATCTACAAGTTATTGTAAATAATTCAGCAAATCCTGTCTACTATATAAGTGTGTTTGGAATAAAGGAATTTAATTAAATCTCATTACACATTAACAGTATATTCTTTTCATTGCATAGGTATTACTTCAGGATCTAACTATGTTCAATATCATGTTTCCTCCAACATCAGTTGTACACAAACCATAGAAAGCTATTATATGCTACAATAAAGTTGGTTGAAACTCACAGACATAATGATGTATACAATTGCCTGTAACAGAAGGCACTCAGTACACATTGAACAAATGCACCAGTGGTGGAACACCTAGTAAGCGGTAGGCCCTGAGTTCAGATCCCATTACTGCAAAAAAAAAAAAAGGAAAAAGCAGAGAAAATCTTTGAGATGATTCTGTCATGTGGTTAAATATAATATTGCCAATACAAGAAATTGTTTCCTATTGGCTGAGTCTAAAGTGGAAAGGATTGTATTTGGGGGAAAAAAATTCTACATCACCTTATTTAGTTTTACCATTCTTTATCTAGAATTCATTTAAAATATAAAATCACATACAGTCAAATAAGCAAATTTATAGAAGGTTCTAGTTTATTTATAAATTACATTGTTTAACAGTTTACTCATGTATATTTGTTTTTTTAGGCTAGCTCTACCCTGAAACAAATTCTGTATTTCTTCATGTGTGCTTCTTCCATTATTAATGTTCACCTTTCTAACCAATGAAAACAACAGAATCAGAGACCACAAAAAAACAAATGTATGGTACATACTCACAGATGGTGCCCACTCAGCATAGTGCCCACAGCTTCCCTCTCACAGGGACTTACATCATGGATCAGTGTCTTCTAATTTTTACATAATCTAACCTAGCTCATTGTAAAATTTGCTAGTTTATCCCCAATAATCTCAGAGATTGTCATTCAAAATGTTGAGATTTCATAGGAATTTAGTTGCATACAACATATATACAGCTTGGTTTCCTGTATATCTAGCTTTTCCCCATCTCTACCTCAGCACTTCCAAATTTAACAGTAATAGCACTGCCCCATCAATCTTTTACTAGAATTAAACTCTTTCCACCAAATGTCAATAGAATTTTTTATCTTACACCTCTCATGATATCTACCAGAAGGTAAAGAGACTCCTCATATCAATACTTATGTCTCATTTTATCTCCTATGACACTAAGTTTGTTGTGGATTGGTTCTATATCTAGTTTTGTCTTTATGTATCTTATGTATCTATTCTAGACACCCAAATATTTGTTGAGTGGTTTGTTAAATCAGCATGAAGGCTTCCATTTTTTAAAAATAAGATTTAAGATAGAAAACAGTACTTAACTAAAATAAATCATAGCTATAATTCATTTCTGATTATAAGCAAATTCTGTAATATAAAGTAGTGAAAATAGTTAATAAATTTGAATGTAAAGCCAGGCAAGGTAATGCCTGTAATCCCAGCACTAAAGAGGCTAAATCAGGAGAATCATGAGCTAAGGCAAACCTGGACTGTATAGCAAGACCCTGTTTTTAAAAATGTCAGTTGATTGATTTAGATTTAAAAAATTGGTATAAATCAATAGACCTGTAGGTGTTTATTGTAATTGTAAAACCCCTAATTGTACCAGGCACTATTCCATATACTACATGTTATCTCATTAAATTTTACAGTGAACCAGCATATAGGTCTTATTAACTTCATTCTGTAGTTTA